TTTACTAAGGATATTTAGCTGAAATTTTCGCTGGAAACTTGGTTGATTCGTTAGCTCATAGTTGCATTTTTGTTTTCCAAACGAGACGTTCCCTGTTCCCTTTGTTCCTCGTATCCTTCGACGGATGCAAATTAGCCGTCATAAGCGAGGAAAGCACGGCTGTCATCGATCAGTTGTGCAACGAAACGATTGCTTCACGCTGACTTCTCAACAAGGCGGTGTGTTCCAGGTACCGTAAGCGAGCCAGAACATTGTTGCGTTCCTGTGAAACTAGGTCGCCTTAACGATCAATCTCATCGTTTCCCTATTCGGTGTGTTTTGTCGCTTACAACCACCTCCATTCAACAACACGATCGTTTCATTGAAGTTTTCTTCGCTTCGACGATCTCGTTGTTATCGCGATTGTTGGATCAAGAGTGTCGTTGTCACCTCGTATAGTCAAGTCTGATCGGTAAAATTGAAAAATTTCTCGGATTCTGAACTTCTGTGAATCACACATGTTCCAGCTGTCACGGAGACAGAAACTTGTGCAAACGATCGTAGGTATTGTTTCGACGAAACGTTTCGTAGTCTAGCTGATCGTTTTGCGTCGTCCTGGCCAGCCGGGACTTGACACGTAATCAATTAAATGAAAGTCGTCCGGATTAGAGCGTGGACTAGCGGCAGAATTATATCCGTTTTCAGTGCAGAACAATCGTCCATTGTTGCCCGAACGTTTGTAAACACAATCGAACTCTCGTTCAGAAGCTTCGACCGTATAATCAACGTTATTAACCAGACCTTCGTTCCTCACCGTGTCACGAGCCACGCTTGCAAAACGTGACGATTTTCGTCGACCAACGTGCTCCTGCTATCATGTTCTCTTATAAATACCGAGGATAACAGCGTGGAACACGTCTTCAGTTTTTGCTGAAGAAAAAAGGATCGAGGTTGATTCGTCTGGATACGATGAACGGAGTACAGGGGAACCTAATTTCTGCGAGCGAAATTCGCTCCGGCTAATACGATCGACGGTGATCTTCTCATTGAATTTCGATCACGAGCCGACCAAACGAGAATTCGACGAACTAAACGAGAGCGGAGAAGCTGTCGGAACAGACGGAGGAGAAAGGAAGAAGGAGAAAATCGTAAGGTGGTCCAACCAGATCCTTTTGCTGAAACAGGTGCACCAAGTCTGCCATACGTCCAGGCGTGTGCCGGCTAACTGCACACCTTAATAACACATGCTCGATCCTTACGGTCAAACACGCACACATTTACATAAACACAGACCGTCAGCTATATAAGTACTGATCGATTCTTCCCTTTATCATGCTAGCCTCATAGAACGTCGAACTTGTCGAGGAGCAGTAACTTTGGATTGATCGAATTATTATAGAGAGAAAAGATTGGAAACTTGAGAAGAGATTTTGGGTAAACTTTAGCGATGGTTGATGCTTAAAATACGATACAATTAAAAATATAAATTCCTGGGTACAGAGGGTATATTTTATAACGTGTGATACAACATTTACTTAATTTATGGTGTTCATAAAATGTACCAGGCATTTAATCGAATTAAGTGTTACGAGCCCGATATATAGATAAGCACTTTTCCCCGAGTCACGTACTACGAGTTTACCTCGTTATTTCGACTGAATGGACAGATATGGTCAATAAACAGGATTTCGGGCAATTTATTGCTTGTTCTTCCACTCTTCAAGAAAAGGTTCCCTCTCGATGTATATTGATTCACTGGTTTAATTAGATCGCGAGGTGATTAACACTTCAATTGGCACAAATATCCATATTCAGTGGGACATATTATACACTTGATCATATCTACATGGAATGAAGTTTTTTTAGAATTATAAACACAAAGCACTTCATAAGCACGCCCAAAGAAATGGGAAAGAAGGAGCTTATTAGTGAACGATGTAAAAACGGAAAGGCTGCGAAGAAGGGTCTCGCAGGAGACGTGTAGACGAAAAAAGGATTGGAAGATAGAAATGACGGATGAAGGTCTGGCGCAATTTGGTGACATAAAAATACCGCAAAATGGCACGTGTAACTGCTTAAGATTATAACAAAAAATTTATCGATAAATTAATTATTTCGTCTGTAACTTTTGAGTAACCATGTAAAAACAATTCGAAAATTCTCCACTGATTGAATTGCTCGAAAATTCCGGAGAGAAGGAGAAGGAGATAGAGAGTATCGAATACCCATGGCTACGTTGGAGGGTCCGTAAAGAGAGGGGCGCGTTTCAACAAAGCCATCGGTACGCAGGTGAAGCGACCGTCTGCTTAGCAAGCTGCGCCGACGAAGGTCCTGGTTGGCGCGTGTTCGACTACCAGCAGGCAGAAGAGTAGCGACGTTAAACAGCGAGCAAGCAAGCAAGCAGGCAAGCAGGCCAGGCAGACAGGCAGCAGCGGCAAAACTGTTGGAGTGCGAGCAATGGGCCGGGCCCTAGTGGGCCCCGACAGGCTCAGTCAACCGATGATCGTCACCGCGAGTGTACGCAGACACGGTCGTTTCCGTTGCCACCATATTTCCTCCCTTAAAGCCCTACAAATTCTCACGTACACGCGTACAACGAGTCTTTGAAAAATTTCCTATCTGTACAAATAAGTTTCGCGTGCTAACAAGATATGTTCACTTTCCACGGCGGAAACTAAAAATTCCTTTCGTTATCAACGCTGATAACAATTTTCCTTAGCGCTAAGTGGAAATATCCTTCCACTTCCAATATTAACAACACAATTTCGCGAAGTTACGTACGAGCCGGACTAACATAAGAAAAACGTATCGTCGTTGGTGGAATTACAAGCGCTGGAGACAAGACTGAAAACGTTGTGAGCAACGTATCGTTGGTGATTTGCATACACGCATGGTTGGTTCAATTTCACGTGACGTTAACGGCGTGTTAGATGCAAAGTTACCTTGGAGGAAAGCGAGGAAAGAGTAGATTGATCGTGCAGAAGCAAGGCTGGAAGCACGTGCACGGCTCGGTGTCGCGGCGCGAGTAACATGAGGAACCGCTATCGGCTGCAGCGCGGACGATAAGTCATGCTCAGCAGGTTCGAGCTGCTTCAGGGTGCTGTCAACTACCTTCTGTTATCAGGTGTGCACCGTCGATCCGCCTATCCAATTGTTTCGCCAACGCTACGCTGTATCTTGTTAGAAGAGTAACGAGCCTCTCGTCGCGTCGTTTCGGAACGTGGATAATTCAGTGAACGATTCGGGGCATATTATTTCAACTTGAAATGCTTTAAATCATTTTCTTCTTCGTACGTGTGCAACAGATAGTAATCGAATGATCGTTCTTCTATCGGAAAGGACAAGTTTTTGGCGCGATTCGGCTCGATGTTCGATTATGCAACGTCCTCTCGCGCGATACCTCGCGACGTAATTGTTCGTCGAGTATCGAGCGTGATTGCGCGTGTCATTGATTGATCGTTGTGATCCGTTCGAATAGTTGGAAACTGGTTCGAGCGTGGCGAACAGTGATAATTAGACGGTGGAACATTGCCAGAGAATTTCGCGTAGCTTTTGTTGAAACGAGAGTTATGACGATCCTGTTGGTGGTTACCTAGGATGCGTGTCTCGATGAACGATACCGCGATAAATCATCCCTCTAATTGGACATCGGGACACGTCTGACTCGGTAATCGTATATTAATCGCGCTACATATGGAATTCATTAACGATACCTCTACTACGCGGCCAGATTGTGCGCGACTATGAAAAGCGTGAGTCTCGATTCGATAATTCCATATTTCGCTTTGATCATCATTATTCATTTCTTCGTAAAGCATTGAGGAAACTGAAAATTTTATTTCACCGGAAGGAAAGGCTGCGTCAGCGGCTCGAAATTGGAAGGAACAAGGCCGGTTGTTAAGGCGCAACCCTTTCTTCTTCGAGGTCTCGCTCCCCTTTTTCCTCTTTCACCATGTTTCTGGCTCTTTTGACCCAGTCCCAGTAGCAGCTTGTCTTTCTCTGTCCCAGCCCCTTTCCCATGACGTGCATACGTGCTCCCATGCGTGCATGTTGCTTTCTATTGTTTACGCAATGCCTTCTCGACCAGGTTCGTTCGTGTTCCTTCCCTTCTTCTCTTTCATCCTTTCCTTCTTCGAGGCTGGCTCGTTGCGTTTCAATGGGGAGAGAGAGACCTCCTCGCGCAACTAGCACTCCCGTTGCAAAGGTTACGTCGAACGAATTGATCCTTCTTCAGTCTTCAGGGATCTCGACAGATTTCAACGTTCCCTCGTCGTTGCTTTCACGCGGCGACAATGATTTTCCTGCCGAGCTGCCGGCTCGACGACCTGTCACAGCGCAACAGTATATGAAAATTACTTTTTTTTTTTTAATTCTTAATACAAGTTAGGTCGACGAGGGGGGAAGAAGAATTCAACGATTTCCAGGCGAAAATGTCAGGCGATTAGATATGCATACGTGGCGTCGTTCGAGTAATTGATTTACGACGAAACTTGGTAGCAAGGATCGTGGAAATGTTGAAATCGTGTCGCGTTTAGTTATTTCACTGTTTGACCTTCTTAACGTAATCGTGGTTATTTTACGAAGGTAAAAAGGTTTCCCTAGGGAAAATGGTGATATGCATGTAAGAAGGAGACGACACATTCAATGTTATTTACTTCGCTGGTAGAAACTTTGTATTAAATAATTGCGCTTATCATGACCCAAGGACACCGTCCTGATAGACGGTCAGCTTTAACCGAGTCGAATGCGTTTATCGTGCAGGTGATCGTCGGGTTTTTTAACGTTTTCCCGCGTCTATTATCGCTCGCGGAACTTTTATCGCTTTCTCGACGCTTACCAGACACACCGCGAACGAATTTCATCGATAACAACGTCATTATGACAGTCGAGCGATAGAATCTTCGTGGTCGAGTAACGTTTGCCACGTTGGCTCGATTCCTCGTCCTTGGCTGCCGATAATCCAATGCTAATTAACTTAGCAGATGCTAATTAACCAACCCTTTTTTTTCTGTTTGTTTCAGAACGCGAGCGGCACACCGACAACAGGTTATCCGCGTAAGTACTCCATACATTTTTAATATCAATCAGTTGCGCGGTATCGATATATTTACAATTTCCACTTTTCAAGGTCTAATTTCCATAATTTAACGATTGGCAAATTTACGAACGTGAAAGATCTGACGCGATTCGATGACGTAAAAGTGTAACAAAACAATGAATCAAAATTTCGAATCGACTTCGAACTCGTTCGTGTTGTCGAGCATCGTAGATGGCGCATGGTATTAAACGCGAGCTCGAGATCCGGTTTAATAAGAATTAATTCGTCAAAGACAGGAATTAATTATGCGTGCACGCGCGTGCTGGCTGCCTATCAACCAGTCGTGCAATTAAATTCTTCCTGCGTTCGAAACTCGTTCTTCAACTTCGATATTTTCTTCTCTGTAACCTGAAAACGTGCCTGTTGCATATTTACTTCCGGTAAATATGCTTTTTCACATACCAGATAACGCACGCTATTTACACTGGAATAATTGTGAAAGAAAAATATAATTGAAACCATTTTGTAACGTACGCTCTTGATAAAGATGTTCGAAAGTTTCCCACGTGTCGACAGGAAGCTGGTAACTTCCGTTTCGCCTCGCGTGCCTTCACCATCGAAATAATATAGGAAAGCATAAATACGACAGAGAATATATGTATAGAATCTCATTTTGTTAATTACTGTTTTGTTTGTCTTTGCTAATTTTAGTTTAACCTTCGCGGAATTATGAATTGGAATTTGCAATATGTTTTCACGTTGTATGGAAAGATTCAATGAACGAGGTAAATAATACGTTCGATGATTTATAAGTAATTGTCGTAAACATCGCGGGTCGTGTCAACTGTTGCCACATCTTAACCTTATCTTTAGCGCGAGTGTTAATCGTAAATCAATTGGTAAGTTTTAAAGCCTTGAAGATCTTTCGTTTACATTTTTTTTTTTGTTTTTTTGAGTCTTTATGAAATTTTAATAAGTGTCCTGGCAACTTTGGAGCGGAAGCGTATCCGTGAACCTCCGGTGCAATGTCTCGAATTTCGTGTCTGGAAATAACCGAGTCCGATCACGAAAGCGTAAAGGTCCGAGAATCCGTAACAATATCGTCGAAGACGAAGTCTCCAATGGCGAAGCCTTGGATAACCGTTGCTACCCTCCGTGGAATCTTAAATAAAATCGAGTGGACGTAAGGATCGAAGGGCGATAAATCGAGCGAGGGGTGGATGGACGCAATATTCGAGAAAGAGATTAGTAGCAACCAGAGACGGTATCTTCATAGATCGGTTCGAACAATTTCCTGAAATCGGCTGCTTTCACCCTATCGAGCGAGAAAGAAAATTAACGAGCTTCCGAGATACGTAGGCAGGACACGTTTCCACTTTCAAGCCCTCCTTGTCTCTTTTTCTGTACTGCCGCACCGTCGAGGGTTTTTCGGTGTCGACCACGGTAACTGCCCCTAATAACCCTAGCTAGGGGTTCCCCGATGGAAAACTGGGTCGTATCGGTACCGGCTACGTGACTTTTCCACCGCGATCGAAACTCGCTCTTGCGTAAACAACATTCAACTACCTATATATATCACCGCTCCGGGGATTGTTAGCTCGAATTAACGTCAATCAAGATGCCCCTTAGGTGAATTTTAACCCTTTCGTAGCAATAACGCGAGCGTTTTGCTACGCGGATTCTCAGGAATTTTCCTAACAAGATTTAACGTATGTACGAAAAACTCAAATATTTGTTGTTTCAAATGACAATTGCAAATTTTATAGCCTGCACCGTAACAAAAGTTCGAGGCTCGTGCGTTATCAGACAACCGGATCGCGGCCTTGTCCAATTCCTGATAACGTCGGGCTCGCGCTGTGCAGAACGATAAGGAATTTCGCTGCTCGCTGCTCGCCACCGATAAAGCATAAGAATTTTTCATTCGCCGTCTTTGTCTTTCCTCGATCGGTGCCTCTTAATTTTCTAGCAAGAATGTTTATCAAGTTGGCGCGCTAGCCGCGGTTTATCAGCCGGTTACTTACGCACAACTTTGATAAACAATTTATCGAAAATTTTACGCATTTACCATGGCGACGATGATAATCCGCGATCTTTCGGACGAGGTAGAGTTCTAGGGATTCGATATTGCAACGGAGTCGCTTATTGTTGTAGGGGTCACTGGTGTCCAGCGCGGTAAGAGAACAGTTTAAATATCATTGAAATTACTGATGATTCGAAATGGGAAATGATTTCACGTTAAGCACCGTGATTCACAACAGATGACGGTATTTACTTTGAAACGTTGACTTCCGTTGATAAGGTATTAATCGTTTGTCTCTGTCGAGACTCGTAATCAATAAAATTGATCGAGATCGGTTGATTAGAAATTAGCGTCGCGGCTAATAGGATTCATCGAAATTCCACTCCGTGTAATGCCTTGAATTCAATTTTCCCCGGTGGAGGAAAGGAAAGTCGGGAAAGGATCATTACCTCGGGAATAAGCTTCTTCTCGTAAAATTAATCGAAATTATCGAGTTAACCGCGTGACCTTTCGGGATAGAATCTTGCCTCGATTAAAATATTTCTGTCGCGTGGTTTGGAGAAATCTCAGCGTCTCGATAAGCGACAAGGTGCTTACGGGACAATTAATAAATCTGGTAGATGCTGTTCCCGTCGAAGTAATCAACTTTGAAATCTAACGCTTTATTTACGACAGAAAAGTTGCGACAGGAGATTTACTGTTCAAATTTTTGCTTTGAAAACAGAATTATTTTATTCTGGATAACCCTGTACATTAACGTTACTCAATTCTTCTTGAGAAAAAAGTAGACTTGAAGCAAATAGCATAGGGGAAGAAGAAGAAGAAGAAGATGATGATTCAGTCAGGTGTCTGCGAGAATGTGCCAGCAGCTTTTCCATTGGTGTTAACTAAGTCGCGGATTAAGTTGGATCAGCACGATCGTTGATCGAGGAACACCAGCTACCCGTAACTCCGTTTGCTCGCTCTTAGCTGGTTTTCCAGCTCCGTTTAAAACGGTCGAGTCGTCATCGACGGTTGGAGGAATCTCGTTATCCTCTTTGCCACGCTATTCTTCCCGCTCGAAAAGACATCCCGAAATTCCTGTCTCGTTTTATCCGCCGCTTTTGCTGGCTTTCGTGCCAGGAAGAAGCTCCTCTCTATAGTCGAAACAGAAAATTATTCATAGAAGTCTCTTCCATGATTAATTTATAGTAGGGTTGAAAGCTAAATTGAAATTGTAGAGGAAACGCGTATCGATATGCGATAGTTTAACATTTATTTCAATATTCTATTAGTGCTCTTAACAGTGATCTTTGACAAGTAAAAAGAGAGATCAGTGGATATTCTGAAACGTAGCTGGATAACTGGATTTCCAACAAAAGCTCTTATTTGAATAGAATGTTCTATCGAATCCGGGGACATAGGGTTCGCGCAAAATTCCTGGTCGCTTTTTCGTAGCCAGTTACACGGGGGCGTCGTCAAAGCGTTTAATTCGATGAAAGGACAGAGGCAGAGCCAGGTCGCATCGTAATAACGTCGCGGACTGGTTGTTGCCTTCTTTTTTTCCCTCCGGAAACGTTTCGTGTTCGTTCCCAGCGGAGCCGGATGTGTGCTCTTTCTTCTTCTCGTCTGCCTCTGCACCGCCGCTATGAAACGCGACCACCACTCTTTTCGCGTGTTTGCGTGAGCTTTGCCTGGTTTTTCCGATGCGTTTCTACGTGGCTCGCACTGAAAATTTGCGACAGCAAACTGTCTGAAAATAAATACGTTCAATTACAATTTACAACCCTTTTCGGTATCCTCTACTTGCAAAGCGTTCAGCAGATACCTCTTCTCTAAAAATAAAAATTCTCTAAACTTTCAGCATTTTACACAGATCTGTAAGAGAAAGCTTCACGAGTGTCGACATTCGACCTGTGTTCAGAAACATTCAAGATGACACACGCTTTTCAAAACTGCTGGGAATCAGCGAAATATCATAAAGAAACTCTTTACGTAATCGTTGCTTTCTCTCTGTCTGTTTTTTAACAGCTCTTTATTGCCTCCTTTCGCTTCCCTGCCTTCTCTCAACCGCATCCTAAAAACCACATACTCGTTCCACGCACAAACTCTCCTCTGCTACCTGGAGCAATTTAAAACTTGCACGGTTTAACCTTGCTCACCCTTAGAATATCACGGTATTGCGACGCGTGAAGCGTTCCTCAGACGAGTCCTGTGTTCCAGTTACGAGTTCATTGAACCGTATTAAATGTCACTGTTCTCTTCTTCGTGGTCACTTTGCAGCTTTTGATAAACCGATTGTCTTCACAATGACGAAGATCTGTCTGATTAATTTAATGGTTGTATCACTTCTCGTTAGACCTTCGCATATTTTATGGATTTAACTTCGAACTCATCGATTTGATATGAATTATGCATAATTGAAGAAAGAGGATTTCATAAAATATTATAGGATTCGAGCAGTTATCTCGTTGCTTGTCGAATTTACTCGCTTTTGGGAGACGCACTCGTCACGATATCTACCGGCACGGAGAACTTTCAAAGTCAATCAAAACTTCAAGCCCGATCTCTCTTAATAAATCAATAAAATCGTCCGGGAGAACTCGATTTGATCTCGTGTTTTCCTGCTCGTGTTTTCGCGTGCAGATGAAACGACGGCGCGTAAGCGTCGATCGAGCTGAATTGGCGAAAAACAGTGAAAACCGAAGAGGGTGGAACCACCTAGACGAGCGCTTTCTGGATGATATCAGATTTTAAAAACAGAGCTTGCATTTTAGATGGTTGGTGATTCGATTTAACACTTGGGTTAGTTATTCGTCGTTTTAGTAGAAAAATGTAGTTGCAAATTATTTGTCCGGGTTTGTACAGCTCATGTTAAATGTGACAAGGCGATGTCTATAAGATTTAATCTGAAGTTTATTGTCGTCGAAAGAAAGGCTTATCCAGATCGTAATTTCTCGGTGTAAGCGACTAAGCGACCTTAGGCACGGTTCGCAACCAGTCAGCCATATCCACAAGCATCGACGAGGACGCAGGACAGCGTGTTTAGGGTCGACGACCCTCCGGTACATCCGCGTTCGGTGCTTCACGTACTTTCCCTCTTTATCCTTCAGCCTGTCGCCGTCTCTCTTTCCACGTTTCCCCATAGCTACTTCTCGTTGCTTTCCATTCCCCTCGGTGCCGGCGAGTTCCCTCTTTGCTCCTCGTATTTTGTCCGTTCTTCAAGCAGCATCCTCTTCCGTTGCTTGCCTCTCGTTGATCGAGGGTGAAAGGACCCTCTTCTTTATTTTTTTCCCTTCCTTCTACCTTACTAGATAGAAAAAAAAAAAATACGAAAGATAACGAGTGGACGAACCAACTGTTTTTTAAAAACTTTTATCAAAACTTTTCTTGCAATTGAACAATATTAATTAGAAAAATTTTCTGACAACTCTCTGCGCACTTTAGTAACCTCTTACCGTATTTAACTTGTTAAAACGAAGACTCATGGTTGCTATACAATGGTGACACGATGATCATTCATAAGAAATCGTAGTGTCATGTATAGGAATTGACATAGTGACAGTAAGAAAATAATCGAACGGGTCTAATTGAACGGGATCGATTCACAAAGACTGGAATGAAAAGTGAAAGTGTGAGGGGATAGGAAATGCGAGAAACCGACGGTAGTTGGTTGACAAAGAAAAGTGCGGAGGAGAGGCGCGTGTGAAACAGCAGTTTCATAGATCAATGAACGATTGTTCCTAGCTTGCCTGGCGTCGTTCGTGTTCTAACAGGTTGCCGTTCCACGCGTGCACGTTCTTCTTCTCCTTTCTCCATTCTAATCGAGAGCGCTTCGTTCTCCTTATACTCGAACACTAGGGTACTTTTTATCCGCCCCATTTTATAGGCTCGAGAATCACCGGATCCAAAGGGGTAAAGGATCCCCTCTTAAGAGCTAGGAAATCTTAAAAATATTCTTTGCTTTCTCCTTTCTCAAAAGTTCGTCTCCGTTTTTGTTACAGGGATTTGGAGCGGGATCTGAGCCTATCCGAGGACAGCGAGGATGAAGTCGGAAAGGTAACTTTGTTGCCAAATTAACGAGCTCTGTTTTCTCATTTTTTCTGAATATAGTAAAATCTGTCTGTACTTTTGAAAGTTTCGTTGGAAATTTAAGACAAAAGTTCGAAAATTAGTTTTGTAAAGAGTCAGATATTGCGTAGGTAAGTGGGTATTTATGATACCTCGACAGGTAAGTGGGTATTCCAGAGTAATATTTTACTTAACCCATTCTGTATAGTGTATAAAACGAAAAGTTGTAGGAAATATTTCACTTTTTCTGTTTCACCTGTTGAAACATTGTAAAGAACTTCGAACGAGCGTATAAAACAGATATTACTGTATTTCTATTTTTCTTTGTACATTTTCTTTGTCTTGATTTTGACAAGAAACCTTTACTCGATCAGATTTTGTAATAAAACATTTCTAATACCGATATTCTCTTTCCCTAAAGTTCGATACGAACGTGTACGCGTTCGAAGTAAGAACAATACAAGGATCAATCAGGAAAGAAAGCTCATATTTAATTGAACTGTAATTAATTGTTAATCGTTTCCCTTCTTTTTCCACAGGAAACGACGTCGCGGACGGCGAGGGGAAACAGAAGTCCTGACCTTACGGTCGAGTAAGTATCGATTTCACCTGTACACTCTTTTAATTAGTGCTCGTTTTATATAGCTTCATTAACTTGTTTCAAAATTAATCCGGTACGCTACTTATAACCATCCTTCGAGGAACTATTTGTCGTCTAATTGATTTAATCTGTTTATCATCTCGCGTTTATCATTTGTTTACCCAAATTTCTGGATGAACCAACCCCTTCAGAATCGACTGTCTTCTTTACAGTCTGTCAACGCCGTTGATACCGGCGATGACTCCCGCCCCGCCGCCTCTGGCACCCATGTCACCCATGGGTCTGTCACCTGTGGGTCCTTTATCACCTACGAGGCCGCTCAGCCCGAGCAGACCGTCGTCACCTCCGAAGCAAATGACACCTGAGCAAGTACTTTCACCTCCACCAGTGAGCCCTTTGCAATCGAAGGGCTCCCCCGTCCCTATCATCCAAAGGCCGCCCAGTCCGCCTGGCCAGGCACCGCAGAGTTCCGGAAGCGCCAGTTCCAGCTCGGATTCCGGCTCTGACTCTGGCTCGGATAGCAGCGACGATTCCGAGGACGAAACGAGCACCCAACCTGCCAAAGGACCTTCGACACCACCCTCTGTGTCACCAAAGAACGAGAATCTGATCGAGGAACCACCGGCAGCTATCGAGGAATCGAAACACAGGTGGAACCTCGAATCGTTCTTCAACAAGAAGGTGATGCCGCACGGGGAACAGAACGCTGAAAACAAGCAGACGCAGGTAATTAATTGTGCCAAGTTTCGATGAACCGGGCTTCAGGGTAAGTTCCTTAGTCTTTGACTAAATAATGACGATCCGCAGGATTGCAATAGGCAAGATGGTTCCCCAGCAACGACAGCAGACGTCAGAACGCACAGGGATAAGGCAGCTCACGATTGGCAGCTCGACGAAGCCGTGAAGAGGACTCACAATCCGACGATGATCAGCGTTCTCGACAGCGATAGCTATAGATCCTCGGATCAGGAGAAGGGTCAGCCCGTGGAAGAGAATCGTGTTCAAACGGAGAAACCAAAAGTGGCCGATGCGAGGAAACGTGGACGACCTAGAAAACCTACCAAGAGTCCGAAGGGTGGTCATCGGACGTCGGACGAGAGTCTGAAGAATGGCAAGCCTCGTAGTAGAACGAGAGGAGTCAGTAGTCCTATCAAAAGAAAGATACCTCTGTCGAAACCTACCATCTCGACCAGCGACGACGGAAGCGACGACCGATCGCAGGATGGTTCCAGCGATTCGGACAGCGATCGACCGACCAGGATATCTCCGGTCGATGCTGCCATCAACGAGAAGAGACGGTCGAGAGTTAGCGGCTCCTCCAGCGAAGACGAGGGTCCTCCTAATGGAAAGAACAACATTGCCTCCGAGGATGATAACACGCGTTGGAGAAGGGTATCCATCAAGAGAAGCAAGCTGGCAGACTCGCCTAAGAAGCAGGAGAAGAAGAAGAGTCCCGCCAAAGCCAAACCAAGAAGATCGAATTCGAGGGTGACAAACGTTGGGGGGTCTGATTCTGATAGCGAGTCTGAGATGTCGGTGAGAAATCGCATTCAAGTAGCTAGGTGAGTTTAATCTTAATTCTGTTTCTTTCGTCGACTTCAATATATGTAGGTAGGCAGGTATTAAGAAAACGCCTTCCTATGCGAACAGGGTACCTCCAAGGCCAAGGGCACCTCCAACCAGGACAACTTCCCCGGAAAACTCGGACAGCGATAACAGTCCAGGTCCGAAGTTGCAGGAGGAAGATGCTGGTAACGTGCAAGACAAGAAAAAGAGCGACACGCTTCGAAAGGTCTTCTCGTCTTCGATGGGCGGAGGTAAGGTTGGCGGTAAAGGAGGAAAAGGTGGAAAAGGCGGAGGCAAATGTGGCATCTACGTGGAAGAGTACACGACCTCTGCCAATACACCGACCGGCGGGGACAGTCCGTACAAGAGACCGTCGTCCCAAGCATCCAGCATCATTCAATCTTTCCCACCGCTTACCTACGTGAACGGTGTGCCCAGTTTACTCTGCAGGATCGAGCTGAGCAGACTTCCCCATCTATCTCAACTGTCGCGAGGACAGGAATTGAGGCAACGCACGGAGCTACCCGACACCAGGCCATCATCCAGGCAGGCTTCCACCTTGACCGCCCAACCTACTCGACCATCCACGCCCGAGGAGGGAGAGATAATTGACACGCCACCGCCTCAACAGTTACCTACCGACTCGAGGATTCACGGTGACGCGTTGCTAGTCGACGGCGAGCTGAAGAATCGCGCTGTGATCAAAGGGGAACCTATTACGGACTCGAAGAGTAATTGTGGCATCGGACTGGGTGCTGGTCTCGTCGGTGGAGGTGCTAGTGGAAGTGGTAGTGGTGCTAGTGGCGCGGGTAGCGCGCCCAAGAGGAAACGTAATCCGAGTTGTAGTTCTGTGACCAGTTTCAGTACTGTGTGTTCCATAGAGACGAAAGGAAAGGGATCGGGGGAGCACAAAGAAAGAAAGAAGAGAAAGAGAAAACACGCGGACGTTGAAGCTGTCGCATCCAGGTCCTCTTCGAATCAGGTACGAATATCTCGCGACAGAAAGAAATTACTCGCTACCCTGTTTGCTTAAGCTCGATGTCTCGTTGTTGAGCAGCAAAGCGACATACAACCAACGAATCACGAACGGGAAGAAAAACCTGACACCAGCTTGTTGCCGCCACCACCACCGCCTCAACGCGTCTATTATTCCTACTTCAATCCTCAGAACGAAGTTTTGGAGGATCAAGATAGGTGGTAAGTGTATTTCCTCTATCGTTTAAGAACCAGGAGGTAAGTTAATTTATCGGACGTGTTCGAACACAGGGACCAGAATCAGTACCTGATGGAAGCGAAACGGCTAAAGCACAGCGCCGACAAGGAGTGCGAACTCACGGCGCAGGGTATGCTTTACCTGGAAGCCGTTCTGTGTTTCCTGCTCACTGGCAACGCCATGGAGTCAGATCCTGTCACGGAGAGGGCGTCGTTCACCATGTACAAGGATACTCTCAGTCTCATCAAGTGAGTACATCTCTAATTAACCAGAAACTACGAGGAAGAGTACTTTCTAATTAAAGCAATCTCTGATTTACCCTTTCTTTGCCCAGATACATCTCTTCGAAGTTCAAGAGTCAGCAGAACAACTCGCCAGAGAGCAGTATACATAACAAGCTAGCCATTCTAAGGTGGGTACTCGCTTTGGGGTTTTCGTAAGTGTCGCGCACTGGCGCGTGTTCCACGGAAACGTATTTTTCAAAACGGCGCCTGTTTTCCTTCTGTTTCAGTCTCTTTTGCCAGTCTCTTATATACTTGAAGTTGTTCACGATGCGCAAACATGAAGTGAAGGAGACACAGAAGATCCTCAGCGACTATCATCAGAAAGTAAGTGCGCCTTAGACCATCGAAAGTCTTCGTCTCTCGCGATCGATCGAGGGTCGTTGAAACGAATTTCGTTCTTCCTTGTGTTCTCAGCCCGCTCAGGCAACGCCGGTGCAACCGGAAGGTCAAGGAACTCCTTCTCTATCGCCCACCCCGTCGCCGGCCGGTTCCGTGGGTTCGGTTGGCAGTCAGAGTTCCGGATACAGCAGCGGTGAACTGGCGAATCGAGGGGCTGCCTCGGGTCAACCGCAGGCAGCTCCTTACGTTAGCGTTCCGCTGAATGTTCACAACGCGATGGTAAAACAAAATTATCACCTTGGCTTGCTGTTTAGTTGTCACGATCTCTGGGACCAGGCCAACGCTCTGGTGACAGAAAAGCATAGAGGTGAGCTTGACACTCCTTTCTACGGTGTTCGACCGTGGATGCCACAAGTGTCCTGGATAAAACGACGTATGCTTTTCTTTTTCTTTCGATTTAGATTTTTTCATCGAGCTGGATGAAAAACTGGGACCCCTCACGTTGAAAAGTTCGCTGCGCGATTTGGTGCGATACGTACAAGCCGGTATAAAGAAGCTTAGAGATCTCTGACCACAGTGGCATAGCCCCCGACCGCCCACCCCGAATTACATTACTTCTCTTCCGCAAAACATGGCCACGTATCCAACGATGTTCACGTAAAAACGTTGCAACGATCGTCGTAGATTCGAAACACGCCATGAGAGAAAAAGCTTCGTAAAGCAAAAAAGGAGGAGAGAAGTTGGAAGTGTAGTTGTTAATAAATAAAGGACTGTTTACCGTGGGGTGCAGAAAATCGGTGGTACGGGGGAGCAACTACGCGTAGTTGCGAGATAACTGTCGAATCACTTGCTCCACAGTCAGAGAAAGAGAGAGAAAAAAAAAGAGCTCTATGAAGTTTCTACGTTAGGAGATTCACGGAGGCGTCCTGGGCAATTTTTTTAACGCTCCTAGCATCAACTTTATAGTCAATTCAAGTTACTCGTCTGCAGGTGGACAGTTGAAGAAGGATCTTGTCGATCCGTGATCGGTGCGTAGAGAATCTCTCGTATTCTGTGCGTAGCACGAGTTACTTATTTTCGAAACGAAGAAAGAGGAGGACGAGGAGGAAGAAGAAGAAGAGGAGGAGGAGGTATTGATACGTTTCGCGAGACGAAGAAGGGAGGGAAAACACGTTGTCCCTATTTTTCTTTTCGAGATAAACGATTTTGTAAATGAAAATTGAATGCGAACGGAGTAGAAGGATGAAATCGATGTATCGACGAAAAGAAGAAGGAATAAGAAGTGCCACAGAAGCGCCCGTGTGTTCTCGCTTTACGGTGCGCCGCAGCCGACGTTACCTGAAGCATGAGTTTCGTCTTGGCGATTCGAATGCGACGAATACACAATGATATACATATATGCATATAGTTTATTACCTATATAAATATATAAATAATTATAAATATATAGATATGAATATATTTAATGAAAAGAAAACCAACGCGTCACGCACGCTGGCGTTTCATTTTTAGAGAAAGAAGATGAAATAATAGAAAAGGCGGTCGCAAAATTCCTGGACGAGGGTATAGGTGAGCGAATTTAAAGAGTGACCAGGGTCGGATGGGGGGGGGGAATTAGTGTAATGATGCATTTCTCTTCGTTGGAGATGCGCCACGAGCAACAATGATCAACGGTTGATCCAACCGATTTTCAACCAACTACTATAAAAACAAATAAAATGTCTGACGTCTGTGAACGAAGGACACGACTCTTTTGTAGATAGGTTACGAAAAAAAGAAAACAAACAAACAAACAAAAGGTAACTTAGATTAGATAATTAATACGCAACAAGGAAAAACAACGTTAAATGGTAACAGAAAGAAAACAACCAATACATATTATTTACAATTACTTAGAATTAAACGGGGAATAAGTAGAGGTTCTAGTGATGAGAAAATAAAAAAAGAATATTCAGATAATTATACATAGCGCATACACCACATTATAAATAGTGCGATTATAAAAAAAAGAACGGGTAAGAAAAAAAAGAAAAGAGAGAAAGAAAGCGAGAACAGACACCAGGCGATAAATAAAAAAAAAAAAAGAAAGATTAACGCGTAACGGAGAGATAGAAATCGCGTTAATGCTCTCTCGTTACATCAGACGTGTAAAGAAGAAAAGAAAAAAGGAAGAAAGAAAGAAAAGCATAACGGATAAGTAAGTTGCTCATGTGTATATTTTTGTAAATAGGTATTTGCGAGTGCCGCCGCCTTGAGGGTGACCTGTCGTCGTTTCCATAACGCGTCAGAGTCGGCCCGCCCCAATTTTTGCTACCACAAGTCTTATCGAGAATCAGGAAAAATTTCTGGTAAATAAGAAGGAAAAAGAAAAAATATTAAAAATAACACGTACAGAACACAAGATAATTATACATGTCCGCCGAATTTGTCCCGAACGTTCATTCCGAGTCCGGTTCTTACGATTTTATTCGTTACTTACATTTACGTTACCGCGTTTTCGATCGAGATCACTCTTCATCATTGCGCTATTCTCGAGCTCGGTTATCCATTATTTTTCGTTACTGTTAGTATCGTTAAGTTTGCTTTTCGTTTGGTTCCTTCTAATCATCGACAAAGTGAGAAACCGTCGCGTGTTTTTGTCAATTGTATCCGGGAGAATGTTGCGAGAGCTTCAAGTATACGAGGCCTGAGGGTAGTACACGCGAACTGAGCGAAATTGATCCGAGAACGTTTAGCGAGAAGCAAAGAGAACGAAGGAGATCCTAATGAAGCGTTAGCAACGAGTTCACGGAACGTTCATTGGACCAGAATCGTCGAAACGAGGAAATATATCTCTACGATTAGACGGAACATATCGAAATTAAATTGAAAATTCGAGTATGCGATAAAGACGTTAGAATTTACATTTTGTTAGAATTTATAACGGTGTAGTAAACAGCGAAAATTGGACCAATCTATTATACGTATATCCGTAGAGACACTTCTAAGAAAAGAAACACCGTATCCGTCTATTCGTTGCTAACGCTTTTCATGAAAGGACGATAGAATATAAGGAAGAAAGGGAAATTAGCGGAAATAAAATAGGAAGGATTGGACGCGGGTTGACGAGACTCGATTAGGGCCCGTAGAAATAACTAAGCGCGGTCCAATGGTTCACGGGATACAATTTTATACCACGTGTGTGTGCGCGTGCACACATACTAAAGGATAAAGAGATTAAAAAAAAAAGAAGAGAGGTTTATTAAAAAGAAAAAAAAAATGTACGTATGTTTTGATATTTTCGAACAGCACACGTATTTATAGCGGGTACGTAAATAATATCAGGCCTTCGCTCTCGTCAGTCCGCGGCTGTGATTGAAAAAATAAAGAAAAAATAAAAATGAACGCACAGACGCAACGACCTTTGTGACTCGCCTGAAATTCGTTGTCAAAATGATTTTATAACAGAAAAGAAAAAAAGAAGGGCAAATTCTGCGTGTACGATCGTCAGGGGTGCAAACGCGTCACCGTAAGCTCAGGTTCTTCTCTTTCGAGAGACGCGATATTTAACTCCATCTTGTTATCATTTTTTTTTTTTTCTTATACTTTTTGTTTAACGATTTTAGCTTTGTTTTGGGGCAAAGATTCTTTACATACGTGTTCCTACAGACCTCCAAAGAAAGACAAAGAATGCGAATGGTGCTGCCGTTCTGATAAAGAGACGAGGTTGTTCGAGGGATAATGATTAACGCGTGTTTTTCTTCTTCTTTCTCTTGTTTCGTTTCTTTTTCTTTTTTTGTTTATCGATCGACAAACGATCGATTCAGCTGGTCGCGTGAATGTTTTTCTTTTCCTACGATTTCAAGAGAAAAAAAAAGCGTTTACGCATATTATGCATATATTATACCATATTATTATATTATATTATATATATTATTATATATTATCATTATTATCGCTACTTTTATTATTAATATTATATATTATTATTGAGTTATTGATACACTATGATCGTTATTATTTTTCGAGGTATTTATAGGGATGAATGATGTCGGGGGGGATGAAAGAATAAGGAAAGGTAAACGGTACGTGTGAGGAATGCGTGTTTTGCCTGTTTCCGTGCGTGCATGTGGACGGTTGCATGAGTGAAAGAAAGATGGAAACGGTTAAACAATGCATGTCGGGAACGACAAATTGTATATTGTACCTAAATACAGCAGCAGAAACGATTTTCGACGGTTCACCGAATTTTGTCGAGCGTATACATATACGATATATATAAATTATATATATTCATGTATTATATATAAGTTATATATACATACTATGTATCATATGTAACAATTACCGTTTGATTTTTAATTTTATGAATCCTTTACCCGCTGCGCCGTAATTGTAACATATTTATATACATATTATACATACGTACACACGCGAACACCCACTTACGAGCATATATATACATATGTAAAACATAGAGACATACAATCATAATTATATTATTATATTGATAGTATTATACGATCATTATTTTAATATACTCTCGTATACGGTCGAAATCGCGTAAACACCCTAATCCAGAACTGAACAACTCTTTGGTCAATCGTGAAAAATCATTACGTATTTCAACCCTTAACTGTTACGAGTCTATTTTCCATCTAATTTCCAAATGAAAACTCTTATTGACATCATTTTATTTTTCCATTATATGAAAGTAAATTTGTAATTCGAAATTTTTTATTTGCGATAATCGTTAGTTAAAAATTAATTTACTAATTAAATTACTATAATTTATTAATTATATTAGACCGCATGTGTGTATAGTGTGCTGGTAGCGGTTAAGGGTTGAAAATCCAATGAGAAGTACCTCGATTTCTAAGCAATTTCTACGTTTCTAGTTGTTTCTATAATTACCAGAGGTAAATAAACGACGACCAGAGAGTTCATTTGCAACCAATCCGTGTAAATAGTTGAATTAATTTCGTTTATCGTGATGGTTCGATCGACGTTTCAGAGGGTGGACTCTGTTCACGATTCGAAGGGTAGTTATCATCGAATCATCTTACTGTGATTCAACGAGGGCAATAGTCATCGTGTTTGTTTGCGAACGACGCTAGTCCGTCATGTTTTCAAAAACAGACTCCTACCCTTCACTCGTGAGAGTCCCTTTCGACGATTTTCTTGAAGGAAGGACAAAATCGTCCGTTGATCGGCCATAATCGATATGAAATCATCACAAAGAGACGGCCAGACAGACGAGCAATCAAGCAAGCAAGCAAGCAAGCAAGCAAGCAAGCAAGCAGATTCGCAGGATCGAAAGAGCATGTATGTAGAAGTATGCGAGTGGGAGTGTGTGTGTGCGTGTACGAGTGTTTGAGAAAGGGAGACGAACAAATGTAGAGAGGGAAGCAATAAAATTATAGATAGAATGGCAACCGCACCAAGGAGAGACCAAACTCGCTTAACGAAAGATAATTTACTTACTTACTTGCTTTTTATTTATTTTAATTAGTAACGTTTATTAACGAGTTATTATTTGTATTTATTGGCGCGGAACGCTGAGGGTGGTTCGCCGATACAGATGTCGATGAATGTGGTGCAACTTTTCAACCGCTAGATGAATGTAATTCGAAACAAAAGAAAACATAAGTGTACATTGAGGACGAATCCTTTTTGTTGTTACTTAAACATGTTAGAAGTTTTCTTCAGTTAAATTTTCTCTTCTGTAATACACTGTATTTTCTTTCTAATATAAGTGTAACTATATCGTTGAAAATCTTCTAGTAAAATGGATCATTAAGTTTTGCATGTTTTTTTTTTTTTTTTTTTTTTTTTTTTTCGTAAATAAAGGTGACGAGTTCATTCGTCTTCCCCGGTTAACAGGTTAAATCGTGGCCGCTGTTCTCGTTCGGGAATTTCGTTTAATTTCATATGAATTGGTGTTACGATGAATTAATTTTTATTTCTCGAATGGCGGACTGCTGTTTTTAAATTTTAGTCTATACCTTTGGATACCATTTCTTAATATCTGAAGCTCTTTTATTTAAAAATTCGTTGTATTTGTTTCGTGGGTCTGGACCCAGCTTCACCGTTTAAGGTTTTATAAATCAAAAGGTCTTTTTCCGCTTGATGGACCCGCTTCGAACGGAAACGCGGCACGTAACGCGCGAATTGAAATAAGAAAAAATGATTTCACATGGATTCGTCTTTGAATTCGATCGATCACACATCCGGTTTAAAGAATCGATGTAGGAAGGAGAAAGAGGAGAGAAACGAGACGAGAGTGAACGGGGGAAAGAAGAAAGAGAAAAGAGACCGTGACAATATATACATATATACATATACATATATATATATCTATATATTTGCAAGATATTTTGCGAGCAGGGCTTTTTTATCTATTTTATAGTAATCTCAGCTTAAGCGGATTGAGAGAGAGGGAGAGAGTGAGAAGTGTTTTACTAACAAAAAGTGAAAATAAAATGAGAGAAAGAGGGAGATAGAATCGCAACAAAAAAGTGAATGAAAAGTGGGGGAAAGATTTAATTGCGCAGCTGACAAACGGTTTGTAAATTGCGTACATAAGATAGGTAAATAACCGTCGGTTAATTAAAAAAAAATTAAGAAACGAAGACGGTTTCACTGTGTCGTATACTCTACGTTTTGTTTCTTTTTCTTCTTTTTTTTTGCGCCGTAGCCTTGCATTAATCTGATTATTATTAACGAATTATTATTATTAATGAATTATTATTGATTATTAATTGTCACCATCATCGTCATTATCATTATATTCTTATTATTCATTATTATTAATTTTATTAATAATTTTATTATTATTATTATTATTACTATTATTGTGTATATGGTATAAATTGTAAAAAGGAACGTATTTACTATAACATATTCATTTCACGGGGATTTAAGAGATCCTTCGAATGAACAAATTGTTTAAAATAAAGTGAAGGAATAAATAAAATATTGACCAATTAACATTTTTTCTATTCGTATCCTCTCTTACTCTCCGTATTATACAATTTCCGATGTTCCTCGTTTTTTATTATTCAATAGTTTTTGTAATTTCTTTATTTCTTCTCTGTCTCTAATCCTTTCGTGTATTTTCATAAGTCTAGGTTTATATCGTGCAATAAGAATCTCAAAAAGGAAAGTAACAGTGCCAAGAATAAATCCTATCACCTGTGTATAAAAGCAAAACCCAACATTCTTCATCGTCAGTGTTCTATAACTTCTGAATTCTCTAGCGATCCTCTTTTTCCACGCCCGATATAACTTGAACCTACTAACATTCTTCCACATTAACACGATCCCACCTTCCACTGCCTTCTGTATCAATTTCGTCATTGGCTTGAGCAGCGACCAGTTTTCTTTCGTAACATAGACTTGTAAATTCTGTTGTATCGCTCGCGAATTATAGAATGTCTGACTGTTGTCCTTGATCCTCGCATATTGGTGAGAACAATCGTCCAGACAAGCCGCGTGTCTAGAATTCCGAACTCGTTGCTCGCATTCGTGATAGGAAACCGCGTGAAAACGGGATTTTAATACCGGATCATGTATGGTCGGGCCTTGAAGCTTTGAACCGTATATCGTGGAATTAGCTCTCTGAAAAAGTCATGATAATATTAATTATTCAAGAGAAATCTGAAATTTCTGTACCTTGAGGTCCTCCGGAGTTTTGATGTTAGGTCTAAAAACTGGCAGACTGAGCAAAGAGGCTAGATGACTTTGCAGCAACGAATTCATTATCAGTATCAGTACAAACACGTTGACGAAGAAAACTCTGGTACTAATACTTTGAGGAAGACGATGGATGGACACCACAGTCATCAAACGAATAATATCCAACGCGGCATGTAGTACTCCCTTGTATTTAGCAAGCAGCCAAAATGCAATTATAAAAACCACCAGGTTTCCAAGTATTACGGGTACCGACATAAACGATATGACTTTAGTTAACTCTGATACTTCGCCTGCTCGTTGGGTGATCACACACATACCATTCTGACCATGAGGATACGTGGTCCTGAAATCAAAATATAATTTAGCATCACTAAGCGTTACCAAAGCTCTATATTTTCTTAACTCATTAGTTTAAGGCACAATCAAAATATAATAATTCTAAAAAAACTGCCGGAAACAAGTGACGCCATCTACTGTTTGGTGCACTCAGTCACTACAGATTCGACAAGATTAGGTATGCCTTTATTTTCAAGGAGTCATGATTTCGGCAGTGACTTATCACTATAGTCACTGGTGTACTAAATGAGCTTTCGGGTTTCACCGATAGGATGGGCAAAAATTACGGGGATTGTAATTTTCCCACTCGCCACTAGGCGACACTAGCATAGAAAAAGCCGCCACCATCGGGCCGATTCAAAAAATTTATCTATGTATCTATATTTCACGAAACAAGGCTTTGCATTTGCGTTTAAAAGAAAAACATACCCAAGTTTCCACATGACGTGCAAGTGCCTCGCATTTATTCCCATGTCCACCTTGCCCGATTCGATATCTGCCAACATTCCCACGATATTTCCATGAGGTCCAACACCGCCGAGATCGTATGCAGATCCATTGTGCACCATTACATTTAGGCTAGCATTTAACTTATTGAACACCATCTGTATAACTTCGCCGTTTTCACCGGCAAATTGTTTGTCCACTCGCCCCTGAGGGTCTATGTGAAGGTAAGGCGGGTAGGAAATCGCGTTCATTCGGACTTCGTATCCGTTCAAATCACTCGTCTTATCGAAATTTAGATCCTTACACATCCCTGGACCTTTAACAAAGATCATTTCTTGAAATGAATTTCAATTTGAGAGACACTAATCTACTGACCATTTCGATATTTCTTCTTCAGCAATAACCAAGGATGTCCATTGCGACCTTTAAACGATCCAGCATCCTGCCACTCCCTTGGAATCACGTTCGTGTAAGGATTGTAGGTGTAGATTAAAAGTCCTTCGACAGGATCGATGCACAAGAATATCGTAGATAACAACTCGTATTCCCAGGCAACCCAGAGGAATCTGTACGCGTTCGAACAACCATAGTTCCCCGTCTTCCTATCGATTAGAACGTAGAATCCGTTGAAGTTAGACCAAATAGAGTCCTTTATCCTTTGTAAGAGCAATCGTAGCAGAGGTTGGGATCGTGCTACCACTACGAATTCATTCATTTTCCAAAGTAATTGCAGCGTTGAGAACTTCCGGAATTCCGTGAACAAGTATCTAGTCAAGGTGTAGAATTCAAAGTTGTTTGGATCTGATTCTGAAATCAGAGCCACTGGTACATCATCTAGCAATGATTTTTGAAGAAAATCATCGTATTCTCCAGCTAACAATAGAGCAGAGATTTGTTTAGAACTCGTGCAAGATTTAACGATTGTCACCTAGAACCAAGAGAATTTTAATTACATTATTAATCAATAATTTTAATTAAATTTAATTGAAAAGATCTTATTAGAGTATTTTAATACCGTTGTTTCAATCAAGTCATTGTAATTGACGCTGTTATCTGCAGTTGCGTTGATAAGCAACGTAGAAATCATTAAAACAGTGTTCAAAGCCATTTCAAATGGTAATAAACGAAGAAACAATTAGTATGCACTTGCGAGGCTATTTTCCTACAAAATCATTTCAATTTCGATAGGGATCAATTGTATAACAGTTGGCCCCCGCAGCGTAGGTCAAGTGATGATAATGAGATTCAATTCTAGTTGGCTGAGAATGAAGCACCGTTCATTCGCATTAGCATAATTTATATTATACTCCCAAAACGAATCACCAGTGATAACATTGCAAAAATTCTTACAAATCTTTCTCCAACAATTTCACGCCGTTACGTTTCGAAGGTACACTACCAATTGCTGCAACCAGCAACTTTTCTCGTTTTTAATCGAGTCGCCCAATAAATTTCGTGTCACCTGTTTGTCCACGATAATCATCTTAATCGACCTTCCCCATTTTCATCGTTAGATAAACAATGGTGCGCAATTTGGACGCTGTTACTGATTGCTTATCATCGTTTCTGGATAAAAGGCTTCGTGACGAAGCAACCTTCGTTCTCGTTAATGAAAGAGAAATACATCAGTCTCGATTCTTCCAAATTGGTCTCTGTAAAAAAACTGTAATAACGATATTTTTTTGAAGTTTTGACCCAGACAAAGTCAAATCCTGAATAATTGCAATTATAATCTTGCCAAGCGATCACATGTTAGCCATAGATAATTCTCATGTACTTTTATTTGTACTTTTCCGAGATCCTTGTTGTACCTTATGCAATGTAAAGATAATAATAATAATAATAATAATAATAATAATAATAATAACGTGCCTGACCATACTTGGACATTTCTACTGTGCCAGTGAACGCGTTAAATTTCTTCTCTGTTCGAATAAAATTTGAGATCCTTGGTGACTCCCTTAGCACTCTATCTGCTAATAAAATCCTTCCTTTTAATAATGCGGACACATGTCTGTGAGTGACGCTGAGACGTTGTACGCATGCTCGAAAACAAAGCAGAAAAATGTTATATGTGTACTCTTACAATGATAGTACCACAGTATCGATCGAGCATCAAATTTTTGTTAAAAATTCAAAGTAAAGATTATTTGCGTTAACTTTAAGACATTCGTTGAATGATGACCACTTGATTAGCGCCAGTGTCGGTTGCCGTGGGGTTTTAGTCAATAGGAATCTGACACTCCCCCGCCGCCATGCCCAGGGACGATGGGGGGTCTTATACAAGATTTCCCCACGTTAAAAACACAAAAAAATCCTTTACATCTCTGCTTTCCTTACATTCCTGCATCCCTTACATCCCTGCATCCCTCACATCCCTGCATTCCTTACATCCCGGCATCCCTTACATCTCTGCATTCCTTACATCTCTGCATTCCTTACATCCCAGCATCCCTTACATCTCTGCATTCCTTACATCCCTGCATCCCTTACATCTCTGCATTCCATACATCCCTCCATTCCTTACATCCCTACATTCCTTACATCCCTGCATTCCTTACATCTATGCATTACTTACATCCCTGCATTCCTTACATCTCTGCATCCCTTACATCCTTGCATCTCTTTTCTAAGCATCCCATTATAACGCTTCCTGGCGGTAAAAAAAGGAACTAAAGCTCGCCGAAAATTTGGCCCTCTAGCGGGAAAAATTTGAACTAAAATTTCGACGTCGAATCAGCGCCCCCTGGTGTTAAAAAAAGGAACTAAAGCTCGCCGAAAATTTGGCCCTCTAGCGGGAAAAATTTGAACTAAAATTTCGACGTCGAATCAGCGCCCCCTGGTGTTAAAAAAGGAACTAAAGCTCGCCGAAAATTTGGCCCTCTAGCGGGAAAAATTTGAACTAAAATTTCGACGTCGAATCAGTGCCCTCTGGCGGCAAAAAAAGGAACTAAAGCTCGCCGAAATTTTGGCCCTCTAGCGGGAAAAATCTGAACTAAAATTTCGACGTCGAATCAGCGCCCTCTGGTGTTAAAAAAAGGAACTAAAGCTCGCCGAAATTTTGGCCCTCTAGCGGGAAGAATTTGAACTAAAATTTCGACGTCGAATCAGTGCCCTCTGGCGGCAAAAAAAGGAATTAAATTTTGCAAAAATTTAAATTTAAAATTATTTTTAACGAGACTTTACTTACCTTTACTTACCTGTACTTACCTGTATTTACCTTTACTTACCTCTGTTCGAACCAGTGGCCATAAGTATTTTATTTATAATATATTTATTATAAGTGTTGAAAGGATACAAGATATGCAGGGAGAATTCAGGATTGTAAGGGATACAGAAATATAAAGGGTACAGAGATGTAAGGGGTCCCGAGGTATAAGAAATGCTGGCATATACGAGATGCAGGAATATAGTGATATAAGGGATACAGGGATGTTAAGGATGCAGACATGTAAGGGATGCAGTGATAAAAGGTTGGGCCTCGTGAGGCCCTTAAAGACAAAAGAATAATAAATAACTGGGAAGGTTGAGCCGAGGCCCATAAGTCATGTTGTAACTCATTAATTCCCCGTGCATAGCACGGAGCGTTCTACTAGTATTTGTAAAAGGATCAAATATCTACGTATGTAAACTGTTTCCCAGTCGATAAGATTGGTCGCTGTCGACGAAGAGCAAGAGTTGCCACAACTTGAGGCATCCGTGTGTCTCGTATCATGGTGGCAACAAAGACCCCACCATTCGCTGAAGACAGTATAGCATCGGTCGTCGGCTCGATTGCTCGTGTACATTTTCCAGCCGCGTACGAGTAACATAATCTTTTACCTTTCATTCGCATGCACGTCGGTGCAACAACTGTGGCAAAATCATCGCCACTTTATCTTGGATCAATTTTTTGTTTCGAAAAATTTAGAAATTTAGTTAGACATATATGTAAGTATACTTGAAAAACCGGTTTAGTTCCTCGAAGGACAGCTTCGTACTGTAGGTAAAGATCTAGCAGGATGAGTAAAGTGGAAGTAGCGGTTTTGTGGCTCTTTCTGATAGTGCCTTTTCTCGCTCACGTGGCTGCGGTTGCACGACCGCACATTGTGTTCATTTTGGCCGATGATTTGGTGAGCTGTCATTTATATTATCGTGGCAATTACAATTATTAATACATAGTATCAGCCTTAGAGCAAGTAAATATTTTAGATTTTTTATTACAAATTAGAGAAATTATTAATTTATAATGGCGGTAATTTGTTTAAATCGAATAAAATATTGAATAGGGTTGGAACGATGTTGGATTTCATGGTTCGGGTCAGATACCTACCCCGAACATCGATGCTCTCGCGTACTCTGGCCTCCTCCTTGATCGGTATTATGTATCCCCGATTTGCACACCGTCCAGAAGCGCTTTGATGACCGGCAAATACCCAATTCATACTGGAATGCAACATGGGGTACGTGAACGGGCGGATCTAATCGTTGTTAACCGTTTAAGCGCACAATAAGCTTGCAAATAACGTTGCCAGTTGTTTGTTATTGTCCAACAATAGTAATTTGTATATTGTGTAGGGAGTCTGAAAGCAGTGTCGTAATACTTGCGAGGATACTAAGTATAGTCATCCTTGTTTTACGCTAATTTAGCCTCGACAGGCTAATTTAGTCTCGTCACGTGTAGCCATACTTAAACGCGTTAAATGAAAAAATTCTTCAGTAAATACACTATTAACTTTCATACGCCTTTCGCCTGAATGTCGAATTAACTCATCCTTCGAGGCTAACAGGATGTTTGATAAAGTTATTCGAGCTGAATACACAATACTTTCCTTATACCCGAATTTAAAGTACGCGAATAGCAGCATAATCTGATGGTGGTAAGGCAAAGTTTATCACGAATTTATCGAGGCCTGCATTTAACTTGCTAATTTCATGACACCGCTACGTGACTACTTTATGTTTCCCCTGGCACTTTGTTCTGCATTTGCCTCGATCTTAGTCTTACTGAACGGAGAAAGGATTACTGACCTTTAGCTGTTGACTCGTGAAATATTACAAAATCTACTATTTGATTATCAACTACTCGAGGAATAATTATTAGGTTCTAAAATGTGCCGAGCCACGAGGGCTTCCTCTTCACGAGAAATTACTGCCAGAATATTTGCGCGAACTCGGCTACAGTACGCATATCGTTGGAAAATGGCACTTAGGATTCTATATCAAAGAGTACACACCGATGTACAGAGGATTCGACTCTCATGTCGGTTTCTGGAGCGGGCACCAGGACTATTTCGATCACACAGCAGTCGAAAGCGTTAGTATAATAATTTGATCGATGGATTCTCAATGTTTCAAACGTTAATTGATTACGCGTCTACGACAGCCTTATTGGGGTTTGGATATGAGACGAGGGCTCGATTCAGCCTGGGATCTTCATGGACAATATTCCACGGACATCTTCACGACAGAGGCTGTGAAATTGATCGATAATTATAACGATAGCCGACCTATGTTCCTCTATTTAGCACACGCTGCTGTGCATTCTGGAAACCCTTACGATCCTCTCCCGGCGCCTGACCAGGACGTCGCGAAATTCAGCAACATCTTCGATTATAATCGTAGAAGATTTGCTGGTAATTAACGAATAATAATCAAGGCCACATCGCAGAAAGATCGAGTGCTCTTATTTCAGGTATGTTGAGCAAATTGGACGAATCGGTTGGCCAGGTGGTAGAGGCACTTCGTAAAAAGGGGATGCTGAAGAACAGTATAATAGTGTTCTCCACGGACAATGGTGGACCACCGGCTGGTTTCAATCTGAATGCCGCCTCCAATTGGCCACTGAGGGGTACAAAAAATACTCTCTGGGAAGGTATATTTCTATGATGGTCAAAGGGTTCTAAAAATTCTTAACTAACGGGTTAGGCTTTCTTCAGGTGGCGTCAGAGGAGCTGGTTTGATATGGTCACCTAAGCTGGTAAGTCCGGGAAGAGTTAGTAGACAATTGTTCCACGTGAGTGACTGGCTACCAACTCTGTTAACCGCTGCTGGTGGAGATCCTTCCAATTTAACCATCGATGGTATGGACCTGTGGCACGCTTTGAGCGAGGATACCGAATCGCCTCGCAAGTCTGTTCTCCACAATATCGACGACATTTTTGGTGTGTCTGGGATCACGATCGACAATTGGAAGTTTATTCAGGGTACAAAGTAATTGTATTTCAGCTATCGTAGCGATGGCCGACGGTGTTCGAGCTTCATTTTGTCTACTTAGAATATTGTGACGTTTTATAGGGTCCACTTACGAAGGTCAATGGGACGGATGGTACGGACCATCGGGGAGAGAATGGGTCTACGACATAGGTGGTGTGATCGGTAGTACAGCTGGTCGAGCAGTTGCAAGTGTGGGCTTTAGTTTGTCGGCAGCAAACGTGAGGAGACTTCGGAAACAAGCGATGATCAAATGTCCGCCGAGAAATGATAGTCTACCATTATGTTTGCCGCTGCAGGCGCCCTGTCTCTTCAACGTTTACGAGGATCCTTGCGAGGACAACAATCTGGTGAACGAGTGAGTGAAGTTGAAGGCGAGAGTGATATATTATACTTATTATTTTCCTTTTTTCATTACCTCGTTCAAGGTTTCCCTCCATCGTGAACTTCTTACGTGACGAGCTGAAGAAGCTGAACTCTACCGCGATACTACCTGGAAATCTTCCTTGGGACAAGAGGGCCAATCCTGAGTTGTGGGACCATACTTGGACCAATTTTGGTGACTACTTGAACGTATTCGCGAATAACGTGAGTTGAAGGTGTTTGATGAAATAGAAAAGACACTAATTAAGGGAAGTGGACGAGATCCATTGAAGTATGTTCGCAGAAACATATATTTTTATACGCGTTGGATCGAGTGTTAAATCCATTTCAAAGGACAAAGGGATTTTTATTAAACCTTACTCTTTGTTCAACGAGCAAGTACATTATCAATGAAACCAAACTAATTGTAATAAATCAACCATCACAGGGATTATAAATAGTATCTCGTTTATTTCTTAATCTATACACTTCGATTCTCTTGGGCCACGCTTTTATCCAAGTGCGTACAAAATGAGAAACGGAAGGAGAAGAAGGAGAATTTTTTGGAAATTAAAATCGAACACCATCGTGTTGGCTAAAACGTCAGAATGGGTCCTTCTCGATGATCAAGAATATCTGAAATCATATAAAAAAGATGTCGAAAAATTCTTTGAAAAAGTTGAATTATGTTGTTAATTACTTATTGTTTATGACGATACCTTTGGCAATACTCCACCAGGGTAACGTAATATAAGTAAGAAACGCGTTCAGGGGTACGGATTGGGCTCGCCTGGTCTCTTTCCAGAAATGGAATGTCTGGGTGAATCCTCTCATGGTCCACAATGGATTATAAGCTCCATCGTCCAGTTCTGTAGACATACCAAGGATTATCTGATTATTACCAATGGATTTTGAGATTGAAATAATTAAATGATTCACATCGACAAGTTATGCAGGAATTATCAAAGGACGATGATCGAATAAGGATCTAGGGATCAATTTATAACAAATTACTGGGCGATTATTATTTACAGGTGTAAGAAAAAAAGAAAGTATATGATGGTGGTACGATGATATACAGAGGCTACTGGTGTGCAGAACAGATAAACGCGAACTGGGATGCACTAGCCTTTCAGACAACGTTCGATGTTTAATTTATGAATCTTATTCTGAAATATATCAGACCGAGATCGAACGCTATCGAATGAAAGAAAAAGCGAATCGCGGTCTGCTATCGTAAGAACGCAATAGGTAAAATGCTTTCTACGATTCTACGAATTTCTGTTCGTCATATCGGTTACGGTGTCAGCGTATGTTTGTTTTTCTTATGGTGGATGACCATGTTTATACCGGTGGTGAAACTCGTTGATTAAACGGCTTTCATTTGTTTAATTGATTCGTTTAGCGTTTGAAACCACCACCAGCACTACGAACACCATCGCGACAGTCAATTTGATCGCCTTGGAACGCACTTCCGTCACCATTGTAATTTCACCATCCTCATAAACACAGTCATAAAACATGGTTGTTCTGATTTGTAGTTTTAAAGAGCGATGAGTATACAGGAGCATTATTCAAATACAATGGACAATGTGGCTGCTTGCATTCTGGTGTAACACTGGCTACTCCCGAACGATTACACTTTTCAAAATGAACTAACACCCCTTATTAACCCTCGTCCAATCAAGTATCCGTTTGGATCTAATTTTTGTAAAATTTCTTAAGAAAACTAACAAACTCTCTTCACCTGCAAAGAAAGAATCCACGTATCCCTGAAAAATATCGTCGACGGAGCAGCCAATGTTAAGTATACTGGTGATCGGTTTTTGTATGTAGGGGGGGGTGTAATTAGAGGTGTCGATCAGGGTGGGGAAGAAGAATTTACCCTGTGAGCCGGGGCGGCGCGGGAGCTCGCACCAATAGTAGATAGCTGTGCCGTCTGGTGTGACTCGATGAGGAGGAAGTGGGTTGCCCGCGAAGCTTCCGGATAACGCGCGTCTTCGCCTCCTCCTCGGCAGGGTGGCACTCTGTCTGTGGGTCGTCAGATTTCCACGCGTAATACGGGCGTTCGCGTTTTTATCTCTCAACTGCTCGTCGTCGTTTCTGTTCCTGTTCCTCCCGGTGTAGTATTCCTCGTGGTCGGAGCCTGCTGACCGTAGCCTTCTTCGTCCACCGTCAGTCCGACGTACCCTGACCACTTCGTCGTCGCTGAGTCGATGATGTTCCTCGTCGTTCTCCAGGTTGTTGATACGATCGTGGTTGATATGGCCGGTGCTGTACGGCCTGCGTCTCCGGTTATTGTCCTGTTCCTCGTATCTAAGAGGCAGCTCCTCCTTACCGTGGACTAGAATCGCTCCGGCGTCCAACTTTTGTCGCACGTTGTCGTCCGTCAAGCATGGCGCCGCCGGTACCAATATCTCGCTACCGACCTCTATATGGTTGTGGTGCTGATGATTCTGGAGGCCTACCATGAAACAACCGGCTGGGTTGATCGCGCGCGTGTTTCTATCGTGATTTAACGATTCGTTGCCTCGTCTCTTTTTCATCAATAAAAGATAAGAAAGAGGCGATGAACGATCGCTTCGAACACGCTGAAGCACGCTCACCATTCGTCTCGTGATAGGCCTCCTTGCGATTCGGCGAGTTCTCGTTTCCGACTCGTTCCCACGAGTTACGTTGCTTTTGCTTCGGACGTTGTTGCCTGCCAGGAAGATGCGGGGATCTTCGTCGTCTGGCGTGAGGACTCCTGTGATTTCCTGGCGAGCCCCGGCCGCCCCAGCTGCTATCCTGTAGCTCGGCTATAAAGGAAACAGCCGGAATGGCACACGTGCCACAGATTAGAGACACAAGGTATTTTTCTCCTTTCATCCGTTTACTTTGTTCTTTCTATTTTTTTTTTTTTTTTCTTTCTATCAATCTCGATTCGTTCGTCCATTTACTGACGCGGATGTTCGCGTATGGTGGTGGTCTACAGCCGTTTCCCCTCGACCTGTTTCACCTGTTCTATCTCTTCCCGTGTCTCTGTGTTCGCAAAACGATTATCAAACATTCTGCATTTTACGGTTTCACTGATCGATTCTGAAGGAACACAAGAGGCACTAGGATCGAGCTCCGAGTCAATCTCAGGTTCCGTTAACTCGAGGACGATGCAAGAGGGGACGATGCAATGACGAAGAATCGCTCGCGAACATCTTAAAGGAACAACTTAGATTTGAAAGAAACTTCAGAAGTGATCACAAAGGTGGTTTAAACAAAATAGTCATTTAAATCATGCAACTGTCGATTCCAGTTGACCGGATAAACAAAATTATCCAAAGTGTCCTGTGAATAAACGACGGTTCATGGTCGAGACACGGCTCCTAAGGGGGTCGTCTATCTATCGAGAGAAAGAAATGTGCAGAATACACAGATACGTAACAGAAGAGCATGCACGGTCGATCCCGAGAGGGCACAGGCAGGAAGAACAAGGTAAAAATCTTTTCGCAACTTTTCGCCTGGTCTTCGGATCATCGAGGCGAACAAACCACCAGCTGGATGAACAAGAGAACTTCTAGTTACCGTCACGAACGTCTCCAGCCTCGATCTCGTTCAATCCATTCGCCATCGAATCCAGACCCTCGTTCTCCGACCTGGCTTTGGTCGCCGCAGTGTCCGGTTTCGTTCTCCATCCACCCCGAACGTAATTGTTTAAATTCGAACTGGGATCTGATAGCCTTCGTTGATGTCGATACATGAACAATTCCTCGGCATCGTCCCAGTCTGCGTCCCACAGAGAATCCGTGGCGCAATAACCAGGCTCTGAGGTTGGCGTCTCCGCACCTGAACCTTTCGGCTTCGTCACAGCCATCTCTGCGTGTCCTTTGCCTGAAAGACGGCTAGCTAAGGTTCTCGGGTATTTTTAAAATGGAAAGAAATCGAGAAATTTCAAATCGTACCACGAGGTCCCTTCATTCGAACAAACTCTATTCTCTGCGAGGCCGCGCCGGAAAACAGGCCAAAGGTCATGCGTTGGGCCATTTTGGTGCTCAGGCTGGACTGTAAATCAAAGGCACAGTGTTATCAAGAGGGTATAAGGTTGTAACGAGCGTGATTCAGTTAAGGGACCTACCCTCGCGTCGTATACTTTCTTCAACGCGTCGTATCTGATGGACCCAAGAAAGATGACACCCTGGATTGCACCCTCTCGATCCGACGCGACCAATTCCACGCACACCATCTCCCCGTCCCTGACTAAAATATCACAGAAAACTTCGTCGAAATTGTCCACCATAAAGCATATATGGGGGTAAGTGATCTCCTCGAGATCACCCTTGGCGTCCATACGCCGACGACTCGGACTAGCGTACACTTTTTGCGAATGTCTTCGTAATACCTGAAAATAAGATTCTCTAGCTTTAAGAGAAATAACAAAACGAATGCGATTTCAAAGTGGAAATACTTACTTGCAATTCCTTGGGGCTGGTTCTTGTGCAGATCGCCAACGTGAGCGTATAGTCGAACTGATGTACGACCAGGTTCAGGTACACGGTTTCCTCCCAATCGATGTCGGGATCGCCGATTGGCAGTTTCTTGCTGTCCTTACGAAACACGTCTACTTCCGTTTCGAATTTTGGCAAATATCTCGACGATGTTTTCACGTGTTTCTTGCGAACGAAGAACAGAAGATCGTCACCGTCGATCGTGTGCTCTGCTTGGAAGAGGAAGTGCCGCACGAACAGGTCCGTCCAGTAGGTTGTACCTTGAAGAACCACGAAGCCCGAGTCTGTGGCAAAAGGTGTTAAAAATAAATTTTTCAATTTATAAACGCGATGACCTTTCAGGAAACACTTTACAAGCCAGAGTTAAGGGAGGGTTGATATTTTCGACCACTCTCGGTCGGAACTATCCGTGAAAGGGTATTGAAACAATGTAATCCTCGAGGGGGAGGTTAACGAGGACCGAATCTCTGTAAAGGCAGTCGATAATCGATAAGAATGTCCCTGGTAGACGACGATGCAGACTATAATTGCAGCCTCCATTGGCGCATCTCGTTCAATTCGCTAACCCGTCGTCTCGATAGGTATTTTCATTAAACCCCTGGAATGTAGAGGGGTAAAGGGAGTCCAATCTAGATTGAACGATCGTCGAAGACGGGAATAGCCTGGAATCGTGTAGAAATATCTCAGAAACGACCCAATTGTTGGCTCACCAAAAATGAATCACATCTGACAACAAGTTACATCCATTCATTGTTTACACAATTGTCAGGCTTCTTCCGGCCAAGGCGTGAAAAGAGGAGAGAGCTTTGCTTTGGTGAAAAATCTTATTAAGACTGAGTCATACGTATAATCTACGTACAGTCGTCTATCGACACTGCATTACGTCATATTGCATTTATAGAACGGATAAGTTTGCTATTATTTTTGTTCGTTTCTCCACGAATGAGTTTCTTTCCAACGTCTGCATTGTAATTAATAATGAAATTAATTTGTTGCCTTGTATCAATGAGTGACACTCGTGAATTACAATGTACGTGTTAATTGAAAATCAAAAGCAACTATTACAGCGTCCGTCGATTCTACGCGAAAAGAGACGTCTCTTTTGTTTAGGTTTATATAATGATTGTTTAATTCGAAGACAAAGGACTGTTACGTATCAGCTCATACGTGTTGCCTCGGCATTGTGATATATTTATATTGAGATCGTAGACTGCAAAAAACATGCTTTGAACGGTGCTGAGTTCGACCAAACTCGCCTTGAAATTCGAATTGCAAATTCCAATTCAAGTATCTCTGAATAAACTGTGTTCAACCTCGAACTTTCAACACTTCAATGTACCTTTTCTTCTACATTAGAAATGCAAATAATGATAATTTTGCTTAGAACAACATTATTAACTAAATAAATTTGTAATAAAAATTTGTAACATATGTGTATCTTAAGCGTTGAAACTTAATTAGCACTGAGTGGTTTTAATACAGAAACTAAGAGGCTTATTCAAATGTCTTTGACCTCGTGTTAGCGTAATTAACACGCAAATGTATTGAAATCTATTCCTTACAATTGCCACGGACTCTTATCCCATCGAATCAAATAGAGTTATCACAGACTTGACGACTTATCGATAACAAACTTCGCATTAATCGATCAGAACGATAATGTTAGAAACGATTGTCTGTGTTTGACGAGGGAATATCGCATTTCCAAAGCGACGAGAAAAGAAGCATACAGAAAAAAATCCTCGCTCGTTTCACCCTTAAGCCATCGATCGTCGAATCACCCTTGCATGGGAGCTCAGTGTCTGGCAAACAAAGCCACTCTCGTCGCGTGCTTGCAATCCCGCAAACCCTGACTCAACCAAATAACATCTTAAAACTTTGCTCAATCATCTACCTGTAATTTTAATTTACAGAAAACCACGTGAAACAGTCGTAGTCCAGATCTAGATGGATGTTTCAATTAAAATGTGAGATACACATTCTAAAGAAATAATCTAAGTTTAGAAACTGAAAATGAAAAAGAATGTACGATTAAATTATACTGTTGTTAACTCAATGGTTGAAGGATTCACCAAAGAGGGTAGTGTTGGTACGAGGGTGTAAACATGTCTAGCAAACTGGTGGGCGCTATGGGCGTGTTTACTACTCGCCCATCATGTTTGTTTACCAAACGATACTTCAAAATACAACAGTTAGATACAATATTAAAATAAATTCCAAATGATTGAATGAAAATCGTTCTTGAAATTGCAAATTTTCACACAGACCCAATTATTTCATTAAAAAAAACAATGATTCATCTGAATAAAATTGGCTATACGAACCATCCTTCAACATCTGCCTTAGCTCCTTCGTCCTCTGGAAGTTGATTTCTTCGAGAAGCTGTTCCAGCATGGTCGGTGGTCTGGTGAGACCAGAGGACGAGCCACCCGCGAGATTAGCCATGCCTGGCTGATTGATCTTGTTCTTGGACGTTGTTGATCTTCTTCTGGTTGGTCTCACCTGTCGTCACTTGGCCGCGTAGCCAGGAACACGGCCACGGGCGTAATTCTTCGTCGAGTCGGGTCACGGTAGAACGAAGACGGGCGAGCAAGTGGTGACGACGGAACCGAGGCTAACAGAGGTCATCGCGAACTGGCTACACTTGCCATCTGCATTCCCTGTCACGATCAAAATGAAACTTGATTGATTACTTCCGGCTGCGCCGCGGTTAAGGTTCTATCGAAACGTTCTCCAGGCTGCCATAACGATGCGATTCTCTGCTCTACCAACGACTTAGCTGATCCTACTACACGCTCGAGTTTACGCTTCTGTGACGAACAGCCAGCAGAACGGTCTGGCTCCTCCGCTGTCTCTGCTCGCACCTATCCGCTCGATAAGTTGGCGCATGCGAGCGGACAAATCGCTACTCGCGCGCCAACTACGCGCTGCTTTCGAACGTGTTTTCTTCTCGTGGAATGTGGACGCGGTTTCTCGATGAATATTGAAGAGTTTTCGATAGTTCTTTCTTCTCCTTGCGGTGATTCATAGATGAGCGACTGTAATTATAGTCACTCTTAACCCTTTTTTTTTTTTTAAATAAGGATCATCGAGGATACGGTAGACCGTACGGAAATTTCTATTCTCATTTTGCAAATTAACTAATCAGTGCAAGGTGTAGATAAGACTCTTCCGGAAGGGGTGCGTCTTTCACTTCGATAATTTTGATCGAACGAAAACATTGGTGTACAATGACGTGGGTGTTTATCTGACGTTGTTATCTGGAAGACGTTCCTTCCAGGGAGATATCTCGACCCGAAACTGACCTCGTGACTCGAGATAGCGATGATTCTTGACTACACTGGCCAATCTGACAGCGCTCGAGCAGAATAAAGTTGAAAAATTTAAGAGTGCTTGGGAATTTATCTAAATAGCTATACTTCAAAAGAACCTTTCCTAAGGAAAATAAAATATCCTTTCTAAGATCTTTTGCATATCGTAGTTAACCCATTTCTTCCCAGTGTTGAGTAGTCAAAAATGTAGTCAAAATGAACTTATTATACAAAACTCATCATGCGTGTGTTAAAAAGCATTCACAAGCTCTCTGTCTATGTGTTTATATTTCACAATTAGTCTAACACTTCGTGAAAAGAAGTAAATTACTGAAAACATATGCAAGAAATGTCAGGTTCACCTTAAGACAGAGTGTTTTTCAAAATTTCATGAATGATGCCATCAACTTTGGTCAGTTTTTTCATATAATTAACAATGTTGTACATTTTGAGTAAATAAAAGCATGTGATCGAAAAAATACAAATTTTTTATTTTTTTACCAAGAAATTTTTAATATTTATAATGTTGTTTCAATTATTTTAAAGTGAAATAAATGGGTAATTTTAAAGTGAAATAAAGTGTAAAGAAATGGGTTAAATTGGGTCACTACAGATTTGATATCAAAGTCTTTGCTATATTATGCGATCATTCGTTAAATCAAATGTTGTCAGATTGACTTGTAGATCTTTAAAAATGATTAACAAATCTCCGACAATCGAATAGTAATCGAAATTGACAGGAAGCTTCGAAGGAGCTTCCGGAAGATCTGAAGCGCACAGGAGGGGTCAGAGGCGGCCGTTTTTCGAATGTTGACTTTCCTGATCCGCGATATCTGCCGTCCGGTTCGTCATCTCGTTTAGTCTTCTTTAACGTCTCGTCTCGTCTGGTGCACTAGTCGCAATTCCAATTTCTTGCGGACAACTAGAGGAAAAGAAATCGTCGCAATCGTGTCGACGAGTTTTATTCCCAGTGCCTACAAGGTGTACAATTTATTTATTTATTAACACCAAGTGAATCTCTTTTATAGTTGAGCATAATTGAAAGAGAGTGATAAACACCAGTTAACGAGGGGGTAATAATAATATATAGTGATAAAAGGTGAAAGAGTCACAGTAGGGTGTTGAAAGCATTTTAGTCTTTTATCGTGTGATTAAATTTTAATTAGTAGGAAAATATATGATCTCAGCGAACGCCTTGTGCGAGATAAATTAATTCTTCTTTATTTAATTTTCTCAGCGAAAGTTTACTTCGCATTTTTCTAAAATCATAGCAACGTTTCCTTCGAAAGGTTATTTCTTGATTTTCTGAAAACTTCGCACTTTCCTCTTTGAAAGCTTGTTTCTGATACCACAATTTTCTCTTGGGAGCCTTGTTTCACATTTTTCTAAAATCTTCGCAAGCTTTTTCGTCTTTCTGAAAGTTTGATCAGCGACTTTTTTAATCTTCCGAGGGGTGAAAAAAATGGGCGAGTCGGTTGCGAAACTCGTTAAATAGATAGAGCGACGAGGAAGCGTATCTGTCGATTTTTTTTGCGAGTGTCGTTAAGTAATCGGTGAAATGTGAACCACGTCGAATTTCGCCTAAAGCGAAACACCAAACACCCCGAAGCGGTGGAATCGCGAGCGCGCGTGAAAGGGCGAGAGGCTCATAAAAGAAGCTGCATCCCGCTTCGTCCAACACTTTCAGCGTGGTAATTCACCACGTCGTCGTGCCGTATTTTATCGATCGAAAAATTGTCGAAGACGAGTTTCCATGAGTTAAGTGCGTGACGAAGTGCGTTTATTGGTGCGATTGGAATCGGTGTAATTTACGATTGAAACCGGACTGAAAGTACTTGAACAACTTCTGCCCCTTAGGAGGTGCACGGTAATTAAGGGATTTCCAAGCGGATGTTTATCGGGAAAGAAACTTTTATCGAAGACAATTAGCATCTGGGATTTTAATTGCGAGAATTTAATTAATAATTTCAGATCTGGAAATAATATGCATCTACTCTGCAGTTCATTTCTCTTCGTCGAACAAAAATAAAAATGACATAAGTATCAGATTAATCTAGTACTAAAGATTTTTCCAAAAGGATATCCATGAACCGTCATTTTCTTATCTCATTTTTTTTGTTATATTACTATATCATACTACTATCAAACATGAACACAATTGCGTAATCCTTCCATTAATTAGCAATCGTATTTTGCATTCAATGCTATAATCGATCGACTAAATGTTTCGTAGTCTCAATACTCTTTTTTAATAGCTCTTCGTCATTTTAAATTATGTTTAAACACGTGACATGATAATGGCTATTATTTTTAATTGCATACAATTTTCGCGATCGCCCTGAGTCACGCTTAAAGTCAGGGGCGTGAAACCGTGAATTCACGACGGTGAAAATGAACTCGACGTGGTTAAATACCGATCGTTTTCGTTCCACGGCTCGTGAAATTCACGATCGATCTCCCTCCAGAGATTCGCGATTAATTTCCATCGTGTTCGATCGTTCGCAGTGAAACGGGGAAAGTAAACAGCCGCGATACCTCGTGAAATCGACAGATTTAATTAATACATGTAAATCATCGGCGGAGTCTGAACATTTAATTGGAAGAAATTTTTGAAAACATGTCTTATCGTAAATTCTTAGTTTCCCGTTATTTTATTTGATATCCAAAGTGACGTAAGTAAACAGACATTTTATTTAATATTTTTAAACAATATCATTGCCCATACACATTGTACTGAAACGAGGTCATAGAATGCTTAGTACTAAAATACACATCTTATCGCGACTCATTTGTTTTAATTAACTCTAACTGGTCGTAGGACGATAAATGTAATTCTCAACGAGTTTTCATGGAAATTTTTTATCTCTAAACTTTCACTTTCAAACATGAACACCATCGCGTCTATTAAACAGCTGAATTTTCATTTTGTATCTCGAAAAACAAGAAAGCACGATTGGCGTCCCGTAGCGGAAACTCTGCTGGACGCAGCGCGATTTCCGGTGATTTGCTCGCTTAAATGTTCTCGTCCTTGTTTCACCGATTTGCCACGAGTCCATCGTTCTAGAAACCTACACCTACACGCAGAGAGCGACGATCTCGAGAGCCGGTTCGAATCTCCCGACCCACTTCCGAGGCACGCTCGCGCGTAATTCGATGCATCTCTAAGTTCTCGGCTGGATCATTAGCCAGCTGAACGTGTTTATTGTCCTCGTCGATCTTTCGAGGATGCACGGATCTCTTCGGTTCGTACGTTTTCCTGATCGCTGACGATGCCAGGATATCTGGAGAACGTGCGTTCTCGTTTTGTAATCGTTCTTACACGTTTGACACAGGCCTTTCTGTAATACCATGCCATTCTGAATCGAACACATTCCCGCGCTTGTATTGTTTATGCATTTCGAATGGAAGAGATTGCGTTCAACGATGTTGTAATTAACGATGCGTTTCATAGAAATTACTTTGTAGAGTTTCGCGATGGAAATTAATCGACAGATGACTGTGACTAATGAGCCATCATTTCAAATCATTTCTGTAGATCGTCGGACACCTTCGCTGTGGTTTTAGTGAATTTTTCCACGCGACTTTTATATTAACTCAAGAAATCGAAAGTTATTCATTTTCCGAATTCCTAGCACGATTTCCGCGCTTCCGGTTCCATTCGCGGACGAAATGTTTCTCGGATAGTTGGTTTCCGTGGATCGAGCGATCCGCTTGCGACACGACTAGTTTCGTTTCTTCGAAACGTGACATAAGAAACGAAGTTACGAGACGCACACTGATTTAACTAGCACTGAGGAGAAACTCGAACGCGTCGCGATTGCCGATCGCATGAGAGCTTGCTTGTAAGAATCGTCGGTGATAAATTAGCACCGATTTCCTATCCGTCTTCTTTCGAACGAGAACGATCGTGACGAAGATGATCGAAGTAAAAGACTATTTTATCGAATGATCGCTATTTGATTTATAAATTAACTTCGGTGTATTTTAATCGTCTATCGAAATTATTTTCTATCATAAAGGATGCGGATTAAATTAATATGCTGAAATTAACTTGATTCATGAGCGAAACGTTAAATTCCTTTGCCATGGCTAACCGAAATTACCACTTCAAAGGAGTTAGATATCAAATTTGAAGCAATCGCGTCACTGAATACTAATCGCTAATGGCCGAGTTTGGCTCAACTAATTTTAAGCGAGCCGATCATTTCAGATCACACCATGTTGTTCCTGGCCGTGACAGCGTGTCTGATGATCGCGGCTCAGGCCGGATGTCCTATGAGACCGACCGCGGAACAAACTTCCGCTCCGAGAACCTCGGGTGACGGTGGTTACAGGATTCTCGTTAGCGGAAAGCTTGACAAATATATCCCGAATGCTATATATACGATCAGTTTACAAGGTAATCACGTATGTACATAGTGCATTAATTAACTTTCTGCTCTGAAATCATGATTAACTACCGTAATATTATTGACTCTTCTTCTAATTAATTCCAGGTTCTCGAACGCACGAGAGATTGCAACAATTCACCCGCTTCACCCTTTCGGTGCATTCACAACACGCGCCCAATAATCTCGCAGCTCGTGTTGGGTATTTTCAATTATTCCCCGATTCTCTGACAACATTCAACGAAGACTGTGTGAACACAATCTCCGAAGCGTCCGATTTCCCGAAAACAGAAGTGAGTTCCATTTCAAATAAATTTGCACTGTCTTTGACACGAGCTCGGACTTCGATT